TAGGATAATCAAAATAGATAATTAAGTAGGTTCGATCTCCCTCAAAAGAAACTATGAGAACATTTTTATTCTCATGATTGTATACCACCTTCGAACTATTCTGACAGAAGTATCTTCGTTTGCTCTTTCTAAGTCATTCGAGTGGTATCAACCCATTTGATAACATCTTTCGATCGTCCTACGTATGTTGAAGGCATGACGGATGGTTGTGGATGGTCGAATCGTTATTTTTAGCTAGAACGATATAATTATTATTTTATATGAAAAGAAACGATATCTACGCCATTATACTTGTGAATTGAATTGGAACGATTTCAAACTCGTCAAATTTGTACTAAAACGATATGAATGTCATTACTTTATTTGTGATTTTGACACCTAACGATATCATTATTCTTTTAATATAAGTTTGATAATGTTGATATCATTTTAACTTAAATCATAACTAAAACTACGTACATATCGTTTCAGTTAAAATAAAACGACAATTATATCGTTTATGCTAAAAATAACGATTCGACTGTCTATGACCACCAGTCGTGCATCTGGTATATGTAGGATGAAAAAAATAGATAATCAAGTGGGTTCAATCTCCCTCAAAAGAAACTATGAGAACATTTTTGTTCTAATGAAAATAAATGATATCTATGTCATTATCATTGTGATTTGAATTGGAATGATTTCAAACTTATTAAATTTGTACTATGACGATTTGAATGTCGTTGTCTTATTTTGTGGGTTTGATACATAATGATACTATTATCGTTTCATTACAATTTTGATAACATTGATATCGCTTTAATTTAAATTTTAACTAAAACGATAATCATAAAAACGACGATTCGATCGTCCACGATCAATTATATGTAAATTTTAATTACATTTAATATCGTAGTTATAACGTTCTAGTGTAATCACTTTTGAAACGATATGTATGACATTATAGTTACGATTGAATAGGAACGATATCATTGTCGTCGAAAATTGTGAAATGACATAAACGTTGTTTACTTATTTCATAGCGTGCGCTTAAACCTGTTAAACAGTGAAGTAATGTGTATTCGATATCGGAACGACATATACATCGTTTTTTGTACTTCAGGAACGAGTTTAATGTCGTTATACAAATGAGTTAAGCAGAGTGTATTTGATACTGAAATGATATCGAAGTCGTTTTAGATTTCAGGAACGATTTCAATGTCTTATGCAAATCAGTGAAACAGTGTCAGCAGCTCATTTCCATTCCACATTTTTATTAAGTTGATAAGTTATATTTTACGATTTCTTCAAACTGCAATATTTTCGTGCTGGCTTATCCGAATCGACTTTTTCTCGAGTCGAATAGTTCTTATTAATTACAAACTTTAAAATGAGTACAAATCGATATACTGCATCTCTTTTTATTAAAATCTAATTATTGGACTTTAAATAAGATATAAATTTAAAAAATATTTTTTTCTCCATTTTTTTCCAAAATATAATGATAAATTTATTTTTAAAAATTTCGTGTGTTATAATATGTGTCTAATGAATAAATGACTCAATAATTATTTTCGTCTAGTTGTTAGGTTGTGGACGATGTTAAAACTTTGGTTGCACTGGAGATCAATTACGAAAAAGAGATGACCTGAAACTTAAAAAGAATAGTTCGAATTCTAAGGAGAAGATGATTTTGAAGAGGAAGATTTTTTGAATTTAAAGGAAGGGAATGTTGTGTGTGTTAGAACATGAATGCATAGTTATTAGAGCCAACCCGATGATCAACTAAAAAAAATTACCGGGTTAATGGTTCAATCGGTGGGTTATTGTTAAATTTTAATTTTAATTAAATTTTATTTTTGAAGTGAGAATAAAACAATTTTTTGAAATGTAATATATATATTTTGCTCATAGGAAACAAAGAACCATCATTTGCCATAATGGTTGTGGAGTTAAAATATTTTCTTGCATTCCAAGGTTCAAGTCATGGCTCCAACAAATTTAGAAAAAAACTCTATTTTCTTCTTCATTTTTGTTTTACAAGTTAAGGGTAAAGAAGTCTTTTGACACTTTTAAATAATTAAAACTCCTTTTATTTTTATAAGTTTGGTCAAAGACCAATTGAACAAAATGTACATTAAAGTGGCCTTCCCAACTCATTTCCCCTTGATTTTTCCCATGATTTCTTGCGTTTGTTCTAGAACAAGGAGCGGGTGTTTTGGGTTTTGAGGCGTAAATTGGGGCTTGGTTGTTGCACATAATTTAGGCCCATCTATATTATATATGTAAATAGATATGTTTTCCGAATTTCACAAATACTATAAAAATTGCAGTATATTTAGTAAAAAATAAATGGAAATGTAATAAATGAAATATTTTTAAATGTGTAGTGTGTGGTGATATTTCCACTTCCAATTATCCAATTTCCCAACTTGCAAACCCCAATTATTTTCCTTCATTTTTTTTTTTTTTTTTTTTTATGTTTGATCCCAAACCAACTTAGTGTAATGTAACTCTCCAAGGCTTCACTTTTTCCAATTAATGCAATTTAGTCCTTGAGTACATTTATTTGCTCAGCCCATATGCACTTTAATTTTAATTCAAGTCCTTCAAATCCTATAGTGTAGAAGTTGATATCCAAACTTTCCATCCAATAGTCAATTTACCTTTCTTCCCTTCCCAATTGCTTCAAACGACTCCATAACTAAAACCATAAGAAAATTAACTCAAATTAAGTAAAAATTAATAATTTAACAATATAAATATTTAATAGGGTAATTAGCACAAAACATCCTTACCTTTCGATGTTTTTTGTGGAAAACGTCCCTACCTTTCATTTTTTGGTGGATTACACCCTTACCTTTACATTTTTTTGCTCAAAACGTCCTTCTGTCAACTCTCCGTTAAAATGCTCCGTTAAATCAAAAAGGTAATTAGCACAAAAGGTCCCTACCTTTCAAAGTTATTGTGCAAAACGTCCCTACCTTTTATTTTTTAGCATAATTAGTAGAAAATGTCCCTACCTTTCAATATTATTGTGTAAAACGTCCTTACCTTTCATTTTTAGTATTTTCACCCTTACCTTTCACCTTTCATTGCAAAAAAGGTCATTTTCATCCATTTTTTCAATAAAATGACGATTTTACCCTCCTATTCAAATAAAACAAAAAGAAAAGATGAATTACCAACTGCAACCATAATCCTTAAATTTTTAAAAACTTACAAAAAATCATAAATTCTCAACCACCACCATTTTCACAACCTATCAAGCTGCCAACTATAAATCCACATAATACCACATTTCGGCCACCATGCCCACCGGACTCCACCACCATAAATGTGGTTGTTTTGGACATATTGGTGACCAATACTATGGAGGAGGATATTGGGGAGAGTGAGGCGACGCTGGTGGGGGTAGAGTCCTATGTGTTGTGGTCGAAAAGTGGTGCTATATGGATCTATAGGTGGTGGCTTGGTGGGGTTGTGAAAGTGGCGGTAGTGGAGAATTTAGGATTTATCTGTAATGTTTTGAAAGATTTAGAACTATGATTGCAATTAATTAATTATTTTTTCTTTTCTTTTTGTTTTATTTCAATAGGAGGGTAAAATCGTCATTTTATTGAAAAAATGGATGAAAATGACCTTTTGCGCAATGAAAGGTGAAATGTAGGGGTAAAAATGCTAAAAATGAAAGGTAGGGACGTTTTGCACAATAATATTGAAAGGTAGGGACCTTTTCTGCTAATTATGCTAAAAAATAAAAGGTATGGACGTTTTGCACAATAACTTTGAAAGGTAAGGACCTTTTATGCTAATTACCTTTTTGATTTAACGGAGCATTTTAACGGAGAGTTGACAGAAGGATGTTTTGCGCAAAAAAATGTAAAGGTAAGGGTGTAATCCACCAAAAAATGAAAGGTAGGGACGTTTTCCACAAAAACATCGAAAGGTAGGGATGTTTTGTGCTAATTACCCTATTTAATAATATAGCTTAGATAACATATCTTTACATATGTTGGAAATTTTGAAGTTCATTATTTATATCTCGTCTCATTACTCAAACATTGCCATTTACATGTATATTAATTTAATTATTGCCTGATTGCAAACAACAATCGAAATAAAGCAAATATATTTGTGTGAATATGAATTAAACTCGAGCTATTGCCATTTTGTTTTCCACTCTAAATTAAATCCCAAATAGCATAGTAATGTTCATTTTCCTATCAAGATAAGAATCAAAAATTGCCTAATAATCCTCCTTACCCACTGTAACCCGCATACCCAATTAAATTCGTAACTAATGACCTATAAATTGATGCTAGCATTCGAGCTCAGAATATATGCCCTGCAAATTTTTTCTCTTCAAATATATTAAATTTTTTATTTATAATTTACATATAATTAGAATAAGAGATTACAAAATTCCAAATTTAATTGATACAGTTTTCACGAGAAAAAGTTAATTGAAAAATTGGACAAAATATGAATTTATAATAAGTAATTAACATCAGCTTGATTAATGTAGTAATTATTAATCAAAGTAATAATTGAAAAAAGTAAACCGAACTATTTAAATATACTAGTCTTTGCCCGTGCATTATTTTGAAGGTAATGTTAAAGCGTTAAGGCCTTGTTTGAGTCACATTATTTAGAAAAAATACATTCTCCAACAATAATTTGATATCATTTCAACTACACATTCTTTAATAAAATAATATTACATCCAAATCCAAAATATTTCATTATTTTTTAACCACACATTTCTCATCAATATACTATTCAAAAATGTATTTTCATTCCAATAATGTGGCTCAAACGAGGGCTAAATGTGTTGAATTTTCGTGATCGACATTGCAAAGAAATAGTACTAAAGAAAAACCATTACTAAAAAACCAAGCAAGCTCACAACAAAGAGAAAAAAAAATGATAATAAATAATCCAAGAGAAAATAATAGAGAATTAAGGAATCCTAGACATTGATGGCTCATTTAGAATGAGAAATGAGTTTTTAATTAGCTTTTATTCTTCAACTCAATACGAGTGTTTAAATGAAGATTCATAGATAATATCTTCTTTATATTGTTTCTGCAAAGTAAACAAAAGAACCAAAACAAAGGTCAGGAACAGGTGTTGCTGTATACTAAATGCAAAATCTGGATTTCTTATCTTGTCTATATTTACAAACGAATTTTGCAATCACGAACATGGCTACCATGTTAAATGCTTTCAAACATTATATCAACCTTCACATGCTTTGGGCTATGTTTGGGTCTAGAACTTCACGGAGGACAGTGGAAGGGAAAAATGAAATCAGCGAAAACTAATTTCGTCCCCTTTCTCCTGTCTAACTAAGCAAATGCCAATTACAAAAAGATTTGGGTGTTCACATCCTTCTCCTTTTTTCAAAAGTCTTCTTAACAGCTTTCTAGTCATCTGTGACATTGGAAACTGTCTTCAACACTCCATAGTGCTGTACAATGTTGCATTTGGTAGGACAACTCCAGCACCATCAGAGGCTGGTTCACCCTTCTTGCTAAATTCATCTGTAACACAAAAAGAATGTATAGACCTGAACTTCTGCCTGAGTTATTTGATTTTCAATTTAGAGTTTAACAAATTACAGAGTTGGTTAGTTCTTTTGAACCTCTGCCTGAGTCCTTTGATTTCCAATTTAGAGTTTAACAAATTAGAAAATTGGTTCTTACACTGTGGCTTGACTGTGAGAAGAGCCTTTTCACCCTTCTTCATCTTCTTCATAGCCTTGGCGAGAGCAAGACAAAAGTGACCTGAATAAATGGTCACTTTCAGAAACAAAGAGATACAACAGACCTGTTATATGGCCTGTTAAATTCATGTCAGCATTACATTGCCAAACTTGAATTTATTTGGCCAGATGTTTGATCTCGCTCAATTGTATAATACATTTGATGCAATGCAGACATGATTTCGAATTGCAACTTTCCACCTAAAGTGATACAGTGTCCTATCCTGTAAATAAGATGGTGAAAAAGAATTCCAAGTTTCAGATAGTGATAGCTAATCAAACTTGAACATGAAGTCAAATCATTTTCTACTGGTCTATGGTTCATTTTCCATTCATGTCTACATATAGCAATATAGTGAATTGAGAAAACGGGAGATATCAAGTAGCTCTTGCATAGAAGATTGAGATTACATTCAATCAGATTTCTTTTTCAATAAATTTATAATCTGAGTAACTTTTGTTGATAATCAATCAGATCCAGATCCAGATCCAGGTCCAGGCTTGGATTGTATCTGTTCACAGCCACCATTTCACACTCATTCTTGATAGCTGGAAGCATCTCATCATATTGGGCAATAAGTATATGATATACTTGGTGTGATGCTTTGGTTTTAAAATACTGGTGTTTGTTGTTAGGGCAGAAAACCAAATTAAACTTCCATAAAATCCGATTGAATCGTTCCCAGTAAAGTGTAATCTAAATCAAACCATATCCATTCAAGAAACTAAACAATTAAAGTAGTAAACAATATTAACCCCAAAATTATAGAAGTACAGAAAAATCCAGAATCGAGCACAGCAATTGAACAGGCAAGAACATAGTAATACTAACCTAAAACATTATGCAGTAAACTAATGAAATCACATATATGAAGAAATAGGGAGTAAATGCGGAGCTGACCTTGAGAGAAATTTGAGAAGTAAGAATACTTCGATAGACGCCAATCGGTTAAATCTCTCCACCCCTTGAAGTCCTATTCTAAGGGTTTGTTTGGCTAAACTCTACCGGCAAAAACATTTTAACAAGAAAAGACTCAATGAAGAGAATGAAATTTTTTACACAAATGTATCAAGAATCAACAGGAAGAACTAATTTGTTTGAAAAACTGTACCCAACAGCAATAGCACCACTACAGTTGTCGATTCCAACAATCAGCTTTTCATACAGAATCCCTCTCCAATCAACCTCCACCGCTCACAGGTCCAAGCTCGAAATCGAAATCATCATTACTTTGGCTGGATTATTATTTCCTTTGGACAACTCAGAAGGTTTTCCTTGCGGGAAATACAGCTAGCAATAGAGAATTTCAGTGAAAGAAACATTACTAGACAAGGGTGCTTTGGAAAAGCATACAAGGGTATCTTTTCAGACAACACGAGTTACTGTGAAACGCCTAATGGTTTATCTTAGTCTTGGTAGACAGGCTGCATTTTTATGGGAGGTTCACTTGGATAAGTATTGCAGTTCACAAAAACTTGCTTTGGTTAATTAGGTTTTGTACAACCTCTACATAGAGAATTCTTCTTCACCCATTCATGCATAACCTCAATGTCGAATATCAGTACTTTCATCAAATTTAAGTTCAATTGCCCTTTTTTTGGTCAATGGTCTGTCAAAATGGGAAAGAACATATATGAAAAAAAACACATTTTAGTCCCCCCACTCAAATAAGTTCAACAAGATGATTGTCCTATGAATTTCTCTCAATAACCAGAATTGATTTTTTATTTTAAGATAAAAGAATTTTGAGAAAGATATGCCCCCCATCTGAAAAATCGAAATATTACATAAATGTTCTTCATTCAGAGGATAACCCATTAAAAACACCTTACATATTCTTAAAGAGCCTAAGCTGACTCAATTTATCACTTATTCAAACATAAGAGCCAACTCTTCACCGTGCTTAACAAATTTGACCAATTTTCTCCACGTATATCTTGAAAAAGTGAGTTTTATATAAATAAAATCTACCACAGGCTTTGATAGTACACCAGAAGGAAGGTCCGAAATCCAATAACTTTAGGTAATAATAATAATCTATTTTTAAATGTTTTAAGCATTTGCTTACAGATAAATGACACCGATAATTGTCTTGTTCTAATTAACTCAAAATTAAGCATTTGCGTATTAAATGGCCTGACATCAACAAAACTACAATTTGGCTCAGCTATCTTTTGCCACAATAAAATTAGTAGACAACATATATGAATTTTTTATAACCTTCTTCAGAGCAAATCAAAGCTCAAGACTTCAGAAAATAATACACTTTTAAGGCATATAAAAATTGGGACATCAAAATAGGAAAATTTTGAATTATCTTTTTAACAATTCAATCTCAAGACACTGATTCCATCTTCAAACACAACCTTAAACTAATTCAAAAGTATGCACCGCAAATGGAGTAGTGGATGCATCAAATACAATAAGTTATAAAGTACCTGAAGAGTTCGATTCTTTGATACGATTGGTTCGATCACGCAGTGGCTTTTTAGGCCCAAACATTTTATTTTATTTTTTTATTAAGGGGAAGTGGAATAAAAGCATGTTTTAATTCACATGGATTTTATTTTTAGGCCCAAATTCATGATTTTGTTTTATAGTTTTATCATCATTAAATTTATGATCAAAACACAATGTTCGACATGGGTTAAATCAGGGGCGGACCCAGACCTTTAATATTGTGGGGTCAAAACTTTAAAAATAATTTTTTTAATAAACAACGTAATATCAATGAAAATAAGTTTATATGTATTTTAACAATTTGAAAATGTCGTATAATTACATCATCATTAATATTATTAAATAAATTTTGCTACTTGTAAAGTTTTGTTTATCATTTCATTGGCAAATGCTGAGCTAACATTGAGTAAATTAAATAGAATATAGAAATTAAATGAATTGAAATAAAATTCAAGTTTAGTTTAGGAAGTAAATGAAATTCAAATTTAAAGCAAATATAATCGAAAGAAATTCAAATTGCACTTAATTCGTAAAGATCCTAAAAAATTTACATCATATTTCATGTAAGACTTACGAATGAAACGATATAAATTATATTGAAAAATTTATCGTGCAAAAATAATAATTAATTGAATTTTTCAAAAGAAAAAACGAGTTAGACGTCTTTTTTGAAGCCTACGTTTGATATATATTTAACTATTTTCAATATCCGTTTGGACCATTCGATATGAAAATGATATAGTTTTCGAAACAAACTTTTACATAACATAGACGATTTGTGGATTCAGATAGCACATGATCGCAAACAAATTTTTAAAGTTAGAATATTATCCAAATTCTCAAAATACTTGTTTCAAACGCCCTACTTTAACATGTCATAACTTTTGCTATAGTTGACCACTTCGCATGCCATTAATGAGTGAAAAACTAGGCCATGAGCACTTCGAAATGGTATTAAGAATGTAATATTTTAACTTCATTTGACATCTCGACGAGTGCATCAAAGTAGATTGTTAAATAAATAAAAAAAAAACAAACAAGCAGGGGCAAAATTTTGTGAGGTCATTTGATCCCACATAACCACATGTGGGTCCGTCTTTGAATTAAATTATGCCCGCACAGAAAATATTTCCTGGTTCCTCCCCTGTTATCACGTGTTTGCTCTTCGCCACCCTAACAAAAAACAAACGTATTCCGATTTATTTAATTCTATAAAAGAAATCAAAACTTTTAGTTGCATAAAACAAAAGAGTAAAAAAGAAACCTGGAGAAAGATGAAGCCTTGAAGAGGGCAATAGGAGATAGAGAGTTGCTAAATTAGAGGATTTAAGGAGTTTCTCTCTGTTCTTGGCGGACGAAGCTACTCCTTTTTAAGGTTTGGCATCCAAAGTGAACAGTGCAAGAGAAACAATACGTTACAAAAAATTTTCATTTATAGATGTGTTATAAAAGCAGAATTAATCAATAGAAAAATGTCCGTGATTACACCCACGGGCGGACGTAGACATTTTACATTAGAGGGTCACAATCAAATTTTTTAAAAAAGGATGAAATTCTTTTAATTTTTTTCTGTGTGTTATAAACTGTTCTATTACTTTTTCATCTTAATTATTTTTACATCTAAAAATTTTTTATATATAAAAAAATTTCGATTATTTTAGGATTTTTTTTATTATTTCTTTTTCCTCTCAATCCAATTAATTTTTTTTTAAAAATAATCTAATAAGTTTCCTAATAAAATTTTTGATGTCATTTGAAAAAAAAAATTTAATTGATCGAGAAGAAAATGTAACAATAAAAAAATCCTAAAAATGATTGAATTTTTTTTATATAAAAAATTTGTTTAGATATAAAAATAATCAAAATGAAAAAGTAGTATAATAATTTATAATCTCTATGAAGTAATAAAAAATTTTATTAAGAATTTTACGTCAAATTTTTTTTTATGTGATATCACATATAAAATTTCCTAATAAAATGATGTAAATTATATTGAGAATTTTATCGTGCAAAAATAATAAATATTAATAAAATAATTGAATTTTTTTTCCAAAAAAGACGAGTTATACGTCTCTTTTTAGTATACACGTTTGACGTACGTTTAACTATTTTCGATATTCATTTAGATCATTCGATATATTTATGATATAGTTTTCGAAATGAGTTTCGAGAGGATATAGAAGATTTATGGATATGGCTAGCGTATAATCGTCGAAGAATTTTTAAAGTTAACTTGTTATCGAAATTCTCGAAATATTAGTTTGGAATACCCTATTTTGACGCCTCGTAACATTTGCTACGATTGACTATTTCACACAACATTAACGACGTAAAATACTAGGTTATAAGTATTTCAAAATGATATTAAAAATGTAATATTTTAATTTCGTTTGATATTCCACAGTGATCCCGAAAACTAAGAAAAAAATAGTACTTGAAAAAGCTAGAGGGTCTAGTGACCCTAAGGGACCCCTTGGGTCCGTCCCTGATTATACCCACAAAATAGTGTCTTCCAATAGAGGGTACATTGTGTGATTAACGATCAAATTTCGACAAAAAATTACTCTATGAGAACTTCAATTAAGCCCTTGTTTGAGCCCCATTTTTTTTTTTTTGTAATAATGAATTTTTGAATAGTGTATTGATGGGAAGTGTATGGTTAAAAAATAAGAAAAATTTTGAATTTGCGTGTAGTATTATTTTATCGAAAAATATGTAATTGAAATAATGTCAAAACGCTGTTGAAAAATGTATTTCTCCAAAAAAATGAGGGCTCAAACAAGCCCTAAAGATTAGTATCACAGAAGGAATTCATTTAGACCAAAACTTCGTGACTAAATTGCAGTTGTTTTAATATGGGAGGCAAGGAAATTTCAGATACATATGATGGTATTTACCAATGAGATGCTTATAATAAAAATTTGGAAGGAGGACAAAAATATTCACAATGCACTCGGGCATTCTCTGAATTGTATGCTCTCAATTTCTCAAGCTACTAATGGAGGAACGTCTGCTTCAATTTGTTCTGATTTGCACACATTGAATTGAGACACATTTTCGTAACTTTGTTTTCGGCTTCTTCAATAAATTTGACCCTTGTTTGAGCCTCATTCTTGTAAAAAAAAATGTATTTTTTAATAGTATTTTGATGGAAAATATGTGGTTAAAAAATAAAGAAAAGTCATAGATTTACGTATAATATTATTTTATTGAAAAACGTAAGATTGAAGTGGGGTTAAATTACCGTTGAAAAATTTAGTTTTATTAAAAAAATGGAGCTCAAACAAGGACGCATCCATTCGGAGGATAAGAATGTCTTTCAGCCCTTGTTTGACCCACTTTAAATTATT